TGCCCTATCCCTGAACCTCTGTTTTCAGAAAGGGATGAGGGCTGAACGAAGTCCACGTGGGTTGCACGTCTGTGCTTTTCTGTGATAATGAATATTTGTAATGGCCACCTTTCACGTATCTTGGAAACCTCGGATAAACATTTCTGTTCTAACTCCATATAACCCAAATTTCCATGTAAAAGCCCAACAAGATTTGCAAAGGCTTTGTGAGTAAATATTGAATGAAAAAAAAAAAAGGAATTCAGAAAAAGAAACTGATAGCTCACCATGGCAGCATTTTCTTATAGCTGTTGAATTTTTTGATAAATTAGAATAACAGAAACTGCTTCATAATAGTCTGCTCCAGATGATCCCAAGGGCTCAAAAAATACATCAATAAATCATCTATAGGGTAGTTGAGGTCCATGAGGAAAGTTAGTCAATGCTCAGTAGACCAGTCCTGAACAAAATAACATTGAACTGGAGTTCCCAGAGTTATCAAACAATATCAGTAATGCAAATGCAAAAGGATGCTTTCAGCATCACTACCAGTATTATAAACCAAGGATATTCAATTTGAGCGTTAAATGTGGAAAAAATTACCTTAATCCTGCTGTCTAGGATGCCCACCATTATAAGCTCATCACTTTGAGCTGGAGCAAACTTGGACAGTGCTAGGACTCTCCCTTTCAGCTCTCACCACATCTGAGCTGGCAGCAAAGCAAAGTGGATGTCAGGTTACCCCTAATTTGAACACTCTGCCTGAAATTACTTCTGTCTAGGCCAAACTCACTGTCTGGCCATTTTTATGTGGTAATAATCCATTATAATAAAAGCATTTTAGTGTCTGTAGTTTCAAATTGGCTTAAACTCGTATTAAAAACCTGTTCACTTTTTTTCATTTTCCTTTAAGGTCTTAATACTACCTAGCTGAATTTTGAGTTTTAACCCAGTATCCAAAGAGTGCTTTTGGAGACCTCAATATGTTTGTATTTCTTTTAATTTTTCCTAGGTTCATACTGTTTGCTTTAGAATAATTGCAAAATCTTAGCATTTTTTTTTCCATTCAGATGCTGATGCATACTCCATTTAATTACTATTTAACTGCATCGTTACCTTGTTTTATTAATGTACTGAAAACCCCACACAAAGACAGGAAACAAGAACCTCGGAGAGATACCTACTAAGTGATAACTTCAGGGTTTTTAAAACTTTTATCATAGCCTGCCTCACCAAGAGCCTCAGGCTGATCTGCAGCCCTCCAGCCTGAAGTGTCCAGCTATTTTCCTCCTCAGCCTTCCAAACTCTGTGATGCATCATCTGTAACACAAATGCTACTGTCACACCTTCCTCCAAAACTATCACTGTGCCTCATGGATCCAGCTGCACCTGAAGCAAACTGCCTTTTAGAAAGGTGGTGCTTAGCTGTAATCCTAGGAGTTAATTTTTTCTTTTAAGACAACTTAAGATACACTTCCTTCGGAAACAACTGTCATCTTGAAAAGAGTATCGTTCATAACGACAGTTTTATTCCAGTTGAAAACAGTAGAAGGCTACAGCCATTTTGAAGGAAAGTCATTCTCAATGGAGTTCTCTGTTACAGAGCATTATTCAGCCTTTGACAAAGAACAAATTTGCGTCTACAATGAATTATAGGATATTTTCTTTTTATGTTAAAGTAGGCCTTCAAGTTTAGCTTATCCACGAAAACTAGGTAGTATTTTGGAAGAGTTAGACGTACTGCAGTATGATCATCTGCAAAGAGACATTCCAGTGTTGGCTAATCATTTTGCAATGACTTCATTCTATCAGCTTCCGGTGGCAAATAATGAGCAGGTTTACTTGCAGATTTTATGAAACGGAATGCAACATGCAAAGGGCAAGGCCTGAAGTTATGGCGGGAATGCAATGCAAAGCTCCATTGAAGCCCTAGATCCCTAGAACTGCCCTGGATGCTCCCAGACTGCCAGCTGCAAGTCCAGAAGAACTGGGCATCACGTACCTTGGCAGCAGGCATTTCCCCCCAATGAAGGCAGGCCTAGTTATGATTTTTAAGCTACAAATTTCATAACGCAGCCTTGTGTCTTCTTAAGAACAGTTACTCTTCTCAGCATGTTCCCAGAGTATTCTCCAAGACCAAGCCTTTCTTATAGGTGCTTAGCAGCGCTCTAGCAATATCCTCTTTAATTTGTTTTTATTGATAGCAATATAATTGCAGAGGCTGAATTAGAGTAATTACAGAGATAATTGATTAGGGGGAGTAGAAGCTGGAGCGTAGAAGTATTCCTATACCAAGCTGAGTCGCTAGTTTTACCTGAATTCTCACACCTTTCCTTTCCATCTGATTGTCCCTTTCAAAAATCTGGGTTGAGGAACATGTAAATCCAACAGAAGAGATAATCTCTGCTTTAGCAAAGGATGTGGAAGACATTCAGATTTTCCTAACTGCAGCTTCAAGGACTCACTAAGAATAACCTCCTGCAGCCTCAACTGCAAGGGAAAAGCTGGTATGAGAAGGAGTTCTGGCCAGAACAGCCAGCCTCTACATGGGCTGAGCCATATAGGGATTCCTGAAGTCTGAGACGAGTCAGAGCAGGACCTAAGTGATTAGTACTGTATCATGGTAAAGAGAATTAAATAGTACATGGCTTCACCATCCACTTTCAAACAACATAGGATGACACACACACATAAAATAAAGAGGAGAGGGCCGTATTTCCCAGACTATCACTCTAACAAAATCCTCAAAAACATTGCTATACCATTAAAATATCCATCGCAGAGAGCTGAGCAGCAGTGCCCTCACAGACCAAGAGCACAGAAGCACACAGCAGTCCTTAGGTCCATGCTGTAAGCACCAAGATGATGTATTCAGTGATTAAAAAACCAAAGACACTGTTTTACCAGACAGTGAATTGGAAAGTGGCGGATGAACCTAGATAGGCAATATTTGTTACAGCATATTTTAAACTGCTCACCCTAAGCCCAGTGAGAAATGTGCCAGTGCTGCCAATAAACTGCAGAGTGCAGTTTATTGCACTATTATATTAGGGTCTGTCATAAGTGGGAACAGAAGCTTCACTGGGAAAGAACAAACAGGCATGTGCATGAGGAACAGTATTTGTTCACACCCTTTCTCATAGTAATGTAATCATCCTCGGTAGAGGTAGCTGCGGTCAGTGCTAGAGAAAGTAGCCTTAAAGGCTGCGAGTCAGTCACCCAGCGGAAAGAAAAGAAATGCTTGAGCAGAATGAGCAGAATGAGCAAAAAGAGTCTGAAACAATCTGTTGGCTCAGGACTTGTCTTGTTTTCTCTACTAGTGTAACAATGTCTACGTAAGCTTGTGGTAAAGCACAGCATTAGAAGCTCCTTGTTGTTTGAGAATCTTTGAAATATCTGAAACCAGTAAGACTGGCTGGTGGTAAGTATTCAGCAAGGGACAATAACAGTTAGACTGAGTCTAAGACTCAGTTGGGACCAGAAGACCAAGGTCTGGGAAGCGTACATACTGAGAATCCAGAAAGAAGACAACAGTACTGGAGATAGCCCTCATTCACAAACTAGATCCGTAAGACACCAGAATTTCTTATGTGCATATGACAGAGTAGCTCCAAGTGCCCATCGTTTTAAATTCATATTGACCTACTATTTAGTGATTCTTTCCCCTCTCAAGTACAGCATTCATTCTGTGTTACCGCATTTTGCGTTATCATCCAGCCTGAGCTGAGTAATATCCTTTTCTGCAGGTACAAATCATGCTGCAAAACTATTACAGGGAGGTCACACATATGGTCCCTGCAGTGCTTTTTCTATATCACTCTGCTGTGGGTTATAGTACATGACGTGCACCTACCCAGGGGAACCCCATGCATCTGGAAGCAAGCCCACTTAACCAGTCCTCTTAAACTGGTTAAAGGCTCAGCAGCCTAGAGAGTGCAGGAGGAAGGGCAGCACTTTTTGCCATCGCTTATCTATGGCTGTCGCCCAGTTTTTTAGAACCGTTTGCCCCTCATGTGAGCTACAACAGATCCAGTCTGAGATCATCGAATGTGGGCTTCAGGGTGTGAGAGGCCATATTCAGCTCTCTGCCACTGCCGACATCAGTGAAGCTGCGCTGAGCAGAGTTCAGACCCAGGAAATCATGTGACCTGCTGGTTTAAACTGTGATAAATCAAAGATAGTGATAGAATCAACCTTGGCATGTGCATATTAGACTATTGATAAGCTACTTCAATCATTTTTGGCAGTTCTTATGGTCCATCTGATCCCTCTCTAGTTGAACCTCTAGTACCTAGTTTTGTAGGTGGAAGCATACAAAGAGTAATCCCAGAATAAATTCATAATCCAAACATGTCATGAATAGAAAAGGGGGATACACAAACATATTGTCCTTGCAGGGTGGAATAAAATGATACCAGAGCTCCTTTATAATCATCAGCATAACCCATTCTTGCCCCAGATACAAAGTGATAGTATCATTCCACACCAGATCAAACCACATCTTTCTTCCCATGTTTCCATCATCTCTCTCTGTGGCAGCAGAGTTAGAGGCAAATAAAGTACATGGACATGTTATCCATGCCACTAGCATTCTGCTGCACTGAAAAGTCCCTTTCACTTGCATTTATTGTACAAAAACATTCAAAACAAATTCTTAACAGCATTATAATTATGCAGAGTTGGATAGCTAGACACAATGTAGCACTGTGTCAATAATTTATTACATCTTATGCTGTAATTTAACACTTTCTATGAACATTTGAGAGCAACTTGGACCTTATACAGAGTACTATAACTTGCTACATAATAATGAAAAGGTGGATACTTAAGAAAGATATGTAGCTTGGAGGAAAACATACATGGAAACAAATACCTCCTGCATCACCTATCTCCATGTACAACTTAAACTAAATCAGAATATTATATTTAATTACTCCTTTTTATATATGCATAGTTTTCATAGCTAATCAGAAAGAAATCATATTACAGTGTAACTATTTACACCAAGCTCAGAACACACCAGAACCCAGCCTCCTCTTCTAGACATCAGGGCTCTTTTCTAACGTTGTGTAATGGACAATGCACATGGGACTCAGATGTAAATTCAGGCTCAAGAACACTATTAAAGAGTCAAACAGATCATATCCACAGCTCACTGATACCATCTTTACCAACTGCCTCTGGGATAAAAGCAGATGATCTAGCGGTGCAGAGGTCTAATTTCCTCTGTCACCGACTTTAGTTAGAGCCAGTCTTGTGTTGCTATCAGATTCTCTATGCAAGGCCTTATATTGGGCTGCATGACAGCAGCCAAATACTGCTGAAATATGCCCACAGTGAAGAAACATGCAGAAGCACTGGATTTACTGCTACATCTTCATAAACAAACTTACCCTAGAGGTAAGAAGTTTAGTTAACCTTGTTTGAGGAGAGGTTATGTTCAGTTTGTCATGTTGCCTTTCATAACATAGTCATGGGAGCAACTGTTCTGCTACCTACAACCACATGACTCCACTACCATGTCCTCATACTGCTTGTAGACTACGTTGTTTGCAGAGTCAATGAAAAGAATGCTAATGGGACTCAGTCTAGTTGGGACACAGCAAGTTGGGGGCGTAGATTCTGGGTCCATTGAGTTCATTAAAGTTTGGATAACTGCGTGATTGGTGGGCTCCAAATGGGATCGAAGGGGGAATTCACAAAGCCCTTCACAGTGATATGCTTCATATTCTAGAGGGGCTATGATCCAGTCATCCCAGCCCATATCCTTAAAATTCACATGGAGGGCTTTTCTGCTACACCTCGCTTTCAGATTCTTGCTGGGCCTCTTCCCTTGCCGCGTTGCTAGAGGAGCTCTTCTCTTCCGCCTCTGATTGAATAAGTACTCATAAACAGTTTTGTCATCTTGGCCTGATCTAGCTTTAATTTCATTGAAGAACAAGTCTCTCTTTTTTGTCCTCCCAAATACCAAGAAGAGAGCCTTTTCATTGACCTGTCTTCCTGTTCTGTTAAAACCCACACTCCTGAGATCAACAGCTCTCCCTCTGTCAAAAGTTTCCAGTTCAAAACACAAGTTAACCAAGTTTTTAAAGTTCCTAAAAAGTTTCCAGATGTCAAACACTTCCCATTTTGGTGTATCTGTGACACTGATAGTACGAGAATCCAGGAGTGTAGCTGCTTGTCTGTTTGTGGAGCAACTAAATAATTTCACTTGGGAAGTTTTTCCAGAAGAATGAGACTTCCATGCATCAGAAGGCTTTTTCCTTAATATTCGAAGCTCTGCTCCCAGCAAGCCATCTTTTTCTAATGCACTGATGTCAAAAATATATTTTTGTTTCCTTATGGTTGGCGCTCGCTCATCTAAAAAAAGCACACACATTTTTAAAAGCATATCAAGCACAGATTAATAGTGGTTATTCAGTTCTTCATGGTATTTCTGAAGTTTATTCATAAGCCTAGAAGATCCCTTAATTAGCATACTCATCTGAAACAATATTTTTTGTCTAAGGGATCAGGGACCCAGAAGAACTCCATGACTCAACAAGGAAATGAGCTTCTGAGTTTGCCTTGTAGAAATGTAATTTCTTTCACCAGGGTGCATTTTCTAGCTTCAAAGTAGCAATTAGCCAATTGGAAAATAGTCCTTTTTCAGGGCTGAGCACTCACAGGGCCTATTCACCCCTTACACCCTACTTAAATTACTGGAACAGGATTTCAGTGGTGCCCAGGTCCCGTGCTGGCTCCAAACGCGAGCAAATTTACCCTTAGACAATACAATAGTGAATTAGTCTTTTAAAACCAACATCCCCCAGGAACTGCCAGACACAAGGATAATTGCCTTATTAACTTAACTCCCCATGATTCACAACTTTTTCAAATTGGGCAGAAAAACATACCTCCCTTTAACCTGATGTTACATTTGCTTGGTTAAGCTCACGAGCGGCACTAATGAGGAATATGGCTGAGCCAACATTTTATCGACATGTTACATTGACGATGCCGTGCAGTGGCAAGCCGAGGACTTGAACTGGAACACAGCACTTGTGAGCAGCGTATCATCCCTCCCTAGAAGTCAAGCTATTCTTAATTAAATGGAAAATGAATTGTCTATCCTGGCTGAGTCTTCTATCATTACCTTGTTAGCAGTACCCTTTGTTGCTTCCTTCAGACCATGACAAAACCCTTACTAACATCATTGGAAGCAGCATGGGGCTAACTATCCAACTTAAGCGATAAGGTGAACACCTTTCTTTTGGAGCCTGGTTATTTCTCATGTGATAGCATACACTAGTCTAAGTTTCTAAAAGTGTTTGGAACCAGAATGTTGAACTGCAAATTCTGGAGTCCCAGAAACTATTTGCTCGAGGTAGCCTGTGCTTAGTTGTGAGCTTCTGTGCTTAGGAGGCTAGTGGTACCCAAAAGCATTAGCTTAAAGCTAGCACAGATACATCTGTGCTATGCTATAATGACTCCTGGGACTATACTGTAGTTCGTCACAACTCTGCCTTGAACAAAACAGGCTGGCTCTTCGATAATGAAACTTGCAGTTTTTTCACAGAATGCTAATGCTATTAGCCATGTTCATAGCATATCATGTCATTTCATTTACAACAAGATCCAATCTTACCAGTTTCCAGGAGATAGTTATGCAAAGAACATAAAACCAGGTTTTAAAAGGTTTTTAAACACCTAAAGATGCAAAGACTGATGGATTTTCAGCAATACACTTCTTTAAGCATCTAAAATGTGTTCTATCTCTCTCTAAATGTTGTGTTTGGCTGCCACACAACCATCTAGTTCTGCCTCTAGATGAATTTTCTGAGATAACGCATGAGAGTAAAAACTGCAGCAAAGTTGTACGGTTTCATTTACATTAAAAAGAGCTATTTGACTTAAAAAATGTATTATTATCTTCTGATAACGCTCTCTAAATGTATAAACATGCATACACGCACACGCATCCCTCCCTGTCCATACACACACAGACACACGCACATACATGCTGGAGCTACTCTCTTACCTTGTCCTTTGTCTATAAAGCTGGTTATTGTATTGGCAAGTCCAGCCTCCAGTTTTACACTTCCATTAACACCTTTTCTTTCTGCATCGGAGAGAGTCCTGTACAAAGAGAGCATGTATTCATGTGGCGTTATAGGGGGATGTCTGAAAGTTTCCTTAGTTTCCCTTTGGGTTACAGGCTCTTTAGTCTTTTTGGTTTTGTAAGAACCAGTATCAGTACTGCTTGTGCCAGTTTTTTTCAAAGATGCCTTGCTGCTAAGATTTTGAACCTTTGGAGTCACTGTCCTTACTCCAGAAGGTCTGCCTGGGAGATGTCCTACCTTTGCCTCCGTGACTGCTGTTCTTGAGAGAACCTTCTTTGATTCATCATTCTTGGCCGGGAGAGCTCCAGCCTGAACAGCACTGCTTTTAGTCCTAGCCTTTGAAGTCCCAGTACTATATCCATGATTTCCAGTCCGCAGCGTACCTGTTCTCGCTGAGGGATTCCTCTCTTTTCCTTCTGCTTTTAACAAACCTAGTTTAGATCCTGGATTACTCTGGCCTGCTTCAGAATTACTCAGCACTCCAGGAACTAGATCCAGAGACAGCCAAGTCAAATGCCAAAGCAGTAAAGTGAGAAAATGCAGGATTTTCATCCTCTGGTCTTCCTCTGAATGCCACTAAAGAGAAAATCAGAAAAGGATCCTCCAGTTTGGCAGAAGAAAACATGAAAGAAATTAAAAACCAAAGTCAGCAAAAATGGTTTTCGTTTGAGATTAAAACATTTCAAATCTCTTTGTTTAATACTTGTATCCAGTCCCATAGTGGAAACGCTCATTTATTCAGATATGATCTCCCCTGACTTCAGTTAGCAGCTATAAAGAACTCGTTCTTGAAAAGAGAAAGTTTACCACCTCATTTTCTTCTGTAAAACTGACTGAAAACTTGAAGGAGTCCTGTTTAAATCCGAAGTTTTTTTTTTTTTTTTCCAAGAAGGAAGAATGGCGTAATGCTGCCTCTGTGTTAAAAGGTTTTTTTAAAGTTTTGAATCCTTTCCAGTGAAAATATTTCACACACAGAGACCTGCAGGTGCTCAGAAATCTTTTACAAACCTGAACTCAGGAATTGGAAACGGAATTCCAACAAACCTATTTAATTACTCTCTGATGTCATGCTGTCTAAACTAATTTAACTGCGATATATTTCTTTAAAAAAATCTTCTTTACCCTTTTCATTAGCATGAGTCATACTCTGCTCATGCGAAATAACTCCACAGGCTCAAAACTCCAGAGGATGCTTTTTCAAGTGGCAATGCAGCCTCTACCTTAGCCTTCAATGAACTTCACATTTAAACGGGACAAACTACAAGACCAACAACTGGGACCTGTCATGCAGTTCACTGGAATAAATACATTAAAAGAGCTAAATTGCACTGGCTCAGTGCTGAAGCGAGTAACCTTTTTCCTGAGGACCGCAACCACAGCTTCGCTCCGTCCTCCAGCAACCGAGGGCTGTCGCCAATAACGCAAACGCTTGACAAAGGTTGCATTTAGTATAAACGCGACGCGGCCGCCCCCGCAGTCAGTGTAGTTTGGGGTATTTATTGCCTCGCCTTCCAAACTACCTGCAAGGGCC